CCAGCCTTCCCAGAGGGGCCTCCGCCTCCTCCCCACCTCAGCAGCCACACTGCTCCCTCCAAATTCCCCAGCTGTGCCAGCACGTTCCTGCCCAGAACCTTTGCACAGGTCCCTTCTTCCACCTTAAATGATCTTCCATTGGGTCTACACAAAGCCAGTCACTTACCATTTATAATTTCTGTGTACTTGTGTGTGTGATGTGTGTGTATGAGTGTGTGCAGGTGCACATATAGAAGTCACACAAGAGTGTCAGGTGTGTATGTGTGTGATGTGTGTATGAGTGTGTGCGGGTGCACATATAGAAGTCACACAAGAGTGTCAGGTGTGTATGTGTGTGATGTGTGTATGAGTGTGTGCAGGTGCACATATAGAAGTCACACAAGAGTGCCAGGTGTGTGTGATGTTTGTATGAGTGTGTGTAGGTGCACATATAGCACATATAGAAGTCACACAAGAGTGTCAGGTGTGTGTGATATGTGTGTATGAGTGTGTGTAGGTGCACATATAGAACTCACACAAGAGTGTCATGTGTATGTGATGTGTGTATGCGTGTGTGCAAGTGCACATATAGAAGTCACACAAGAGTGTCACGTGGCCTCCTTTATCATCTTGTAAAACACCCGCCTAGCGTGCAGGAACTCCTGAACTCCACCAGCAGCACCATGGAACACAAGTGTGGTGGCATCTGCCTGTGGTCACAGCATTCAAGGTGAAACAGGAGGATCAGGACTTCAAGGTCAGCCTCCATGCCAAGTGTGAGACTAGCCTGAGTTACAAGAGACCCTGTCTCAACAAAAACCAAGAGGGGCTGGTGGGTGGGTGTGGCAGCCCACCTGCAAACCCAGCATTCAAGAGGCAGAGACGGAGCCCCCAAAGGAGCAAGCTGGCTAGCTAGACAACTGGCATTGATGAGCTCTGAGTTCAAGGGAGAGACCCTGCTTCCGTATATAAGGCAGGAGTGATGGAGGAAGACCCTGGCCATCAACCTCCAGCTTCCACGCGCAGGTATACCTGCACACACGGAGGCCAACACACGTCTGAACATGAATACGCAAACCAAACAAGCAACTCAAAGGGCAACAAAAATAGGGTGGGAATTTGTGGGTGGGCATTAGGTTATTGGGGGTGTGTCTTTGAATGGGATTGTGTGCCTTGCTCTCTTTCGTTCTTTCTCTTTCTCCTCTCCCCCCCTCTCTCTTTTTCCTTTCTTCCTTTTCTCCCCTTTTCTTTCTCTCCCTCTCTCTTTCCTATCTTCTCTCACCACCTCTCCTCCCTGTCCCCACTCTCCTGGTTCATGATGTGAGTGACTCCTGCCTGCTACCCTCATTCTGCCACCAGAAGCCAAAAATTGCAGGGCTGTTCAAGACCATAGGCTCCAAAGCCAGGCAGGGGCGGTGCATGCCTTTAATCCCAGCACTTGGGAGGCAAAGGCGGGCAGATCTCTGTTCTAGGCCAGCCTGATCTACAGAGCAAGTTCCAAGATAGCTAGGGCTACACAGAGAAACCCTGTCTTGAAAATAAAAAATAAAAGTCTCCAGTGAGGTATGGGCAAGGCAACCATGGCAATTCCAAACAGCAAAAATATGGAACTCAGGGAGAGTTCTGGTTCCAGTGAGATGGCTCTGTGGGCATAGGTGCTTGCTACCAACCCTAATGGTCTGAGTTTGGTCCACAGCACCCACAGAGTAGAAGACCACAAGTTGTCTTTCAGTGTGCCTGTGTGTCACGGGGAACAGAAAAACACACTGGATCCCCTGGAGCTAGAATTACCCACCATGTGGGTGCTGGGAACTGAACCCAGGTTCTTAGAGAGCAACAAGAGACCTCTGAGCGTCTCTCCAGCACATAAATGTAATTTTTTTTTCCAGACAGAGTTTCTCTGTGTAACCGCCCTGGCTGTCCAGGAACTCACTCTGTAGACCAGGCTGGCCTCAGATTCAGATCCACCTGCTTTTGCCTGCCAAGTGCTGGGATCAAGGTGTGTGCCTCCAGCCAGTTCAGGCATGCAGTTCTAGAAAGAGAATGCCGCACTCAGATTTGTTCCCATGCATCTTCAAGTTCCCAAGTGACTTTCCATAAACAGACATGCTCATTCACCCATGATGCAGTCTGGAGTGTGGCTCAGACAGAGAGCACAACCTCTCCCACACTCTTACCCTCGGAACAGTGGCACACATGTTTCTACACGACCACATTTCTGTGTAAGCACACTGGGTTGGTTATAATGAATTCAAGACTGGACAGATCTCATTTCTGTGAGTTTCCTCAGGTAGCACATCAATGTCTTTGTGCCCCTGGCAGCTTGATCCTTAGTGTGGGAATATAGACACTATTATTAAGTGTTAAGGGGCAGAGTGTAGTGGGGGAGGGGTCTTTTCTGTTAGGATTAATAGAGTTCTCACGGGACCCAGTTAGAACCCATAAGGTTTTTAAAGAAGGCTGGAGAGATGGTTCAACAGGTATGAGCACTGGCTGCTCTTCCAGAGGACCTGGGTTTGCTTCTCAGCACCCACATGTCAGGCTCACAACATCCAGTAACTTCAGTTCCAGAAGATCTAACGTCCTCTTCTGGCCTCTGCAGACACTGCATCCATCTACAGTGCAGACATAAATGCAGGCAAAACACGTACACATAAAAGAAGCATAAGTAATATCTCAAAATCGTTTTGAAATGGTATTTTTAAAGAACATTTTGATGACAACCACTCAGGAGCGTAAGGCAGATGGATCTCTGTGTGTTCAAAGACCAGTTTGGGCCAGGCGGTGGTGGCTCAAGCCTTTAATTCCAGCACTTGGGAGGCAGAGGCAGGCGGATCTCTGTGAGTTAAAGACCAGTTTGGTCTATACACAGTGAGACTCTGTCCCAGTAAAACTAAGACACTTTTATTACATTTACTTCTTTTCTGGGCACATGTGTGTCACAGCAGGCATGTGAGGACCGAAGACAACTTGCAGGAGCTTGTCCTCTCCCTTCCCCCAAGCAAGTACTGGGATCAAACTCAGACCACAGGGTTTGGAGGCAAGCATCGTGCTCATCCGAGAGGATTTTTGTCTGGTGTGTTCCTGTGTGTGCTCATGCCTGTGGAAGCTGGGAGTCAGTTCTGGGTTCCACTTTAGTGTGTGTGGGTGCACATGTAAGAGCAAGTGAGAGCATGTACACGTGGCATATGGGACAGACTGAAAGAAAATGACCCCCAAATGGAGTGGAACTATTAGGGCGTGTAGCCTTGTTGAATGAATTGCGTGTCACTGTGGGGACTAGCTTTGAGGTCTCTTTTGCTCAAGCTTCCCTCAGTGTGAGTTTCAGTCAACTTCCTGTTGCCTGCCTGCAAGTCAAGATAGAGCCAGTACCACATCTGCCTGCACGCTGCCATGCTCCCCACCATGATGACAATGAACTGAACTTCTGAAACTCTAAGTGAGCCACCTCAATTAAATCTTTTATTTATAAGAGTTGCCATAGTCATGGCGTCTCTTCACAGCAATAAAAACCCACATTAAGACAGTACACGGACATGTGTCCAAGCAGAGGCCAGAGCAGGATACCTGACACCCTTCTCTATTGTTCTCCATCATAGTCCTTAGAGGGAGGGTCTCTCTCTGAACATGGAGTTAGCTGTGGGCAGCGAGCCCCAGTGATCCTCATGTTTCAGCCCCCAAAACCTGGGGTTACAGGTGCACACAAACAGCCTTGTTTGAATTTCTTTTCCTTCTTATTTAACATTTTGTTATAGTGTGTGTGCGTGTGTGTGAGAGAGAGAGAGAGGGGGGGGCAGTGCTGGCAGAGGACAGACTCTGTCAGATTTCTGAGGTCATAGGCAGTTGGGGGCTGGCAATGTGGATGTGGAGAACTGAGCTCTAGAAGGGCAGCCATGGTTCTCAACTGCTGAGCCATTTCTCCATCCTGGATGCAGAAGTGGGTGACACAAATCTGAACTCAGAAGCCTGTCCCAGCAAGCTCTCTCCACTGATCCATCTCCTCAGCCCCGCCCCCACCTTAATTCTTTGCTACAAAGTCTCTCACTGAACTGGGAGCTTGCTCTTGGCTAGCCTGGCTGGGCATTGGTCCCCAGGGACCCTCCTCTCCATCTCCCCTGTGCTGAGGATGTATGCCACCACACTTAGCTCTTCACATGGGGGCTGGGACTCACATTCAGGGTTTCGTGTCGGCGCGGCACGCACTTTACTGACAGCTATCTCCTAGTCTGCAGAGGGTGGTTATTAAGGAATAAGCGTGGCCAGCCTGTCTCTGGATCACTCTAACTCATACCTGATTCCACCATGACATCATCCCCTAATAAAGTAACTCAGACAAGGAGGGATTTACCTAGGGCTGAATCAGCGGAGCCCTCCGATTTTGAATTATTTAAAACTAAAACTATTTTGAAGTCTTTAAAAATATAATAACCTAAGACATCTTTTTTTTTTTCACAAAATATCCAGCTTCAAATGTTTTTGTTATAGCAACAGAAAACAGTCTAACACACTGGTTGATGAACCAAACAACCACAGTAAAAAATCATCAAGTGAACAAGGCAGACATCACAGGCACCTTTTTTCAGCAGCTGAGAACTGGGTTGAAGAAGCTCACTCAAGGTCATGTAGGTCGTAAGCAGTGGCCATCTGAGAACAAGTCCGCGATGCCCAGGTCCTACTCTACCCTCTCACTGACCCACCACCCCTCAGACCACAGCCTGGACCCAGAATTGTCTGTCTGTCTGCCTTCCTCCTGCCCACCTCCAGTTCCAAGGCCTCTTACCTTAGGTCCTGGGCGTCCTGGGTAACCTGGGAGACCTGGCACCCCAAGCTTGCCCTATAGGAAGAAGGATTATAGGACACAGGTCATGCATGTCAAGCTAGAGCTAGAAGGGAAAGGTCAAGATGGCTGCACAACAGAGTGAGAAACTGAGTTCCTAGGGGGCTGTGCTTGTGAGGAACTCTCTAGCCCATGCAAACCAGCGTCCTCATCTGTAAGGGGGGGGGGAGTTGATTACAGGGCTGGATTACAGTGGTTTGGTTCCCAGCACCCACATCCGGGAACTCAGTCACCTGTGACCTTAGCTCAGGGAATGGCCTCACCTATAAATGACTCATGCAGAAAGACGCAATTAAAAATAAAAATAATTTTTCCCTTTTTTGCTGGGCTGTGGTGGCACACACCTTTAATCCCAGCACTCAGGAGACAGAGACAGCAGGATCTCTGTGAGTTCAAACCAGCCTGGTCAACAGAATGTGTTCCAGGACAGCCAGGGATACACAGTGAAACCTGTCTCACAAGACTATATATAAATATTCCCTTTTAAAGACAGTGTCTCACTGTGTAGCTCTAGCTGTCCTAGAACTTGCTATGTAGATGTGGCTGGCCTCAACTCCATACAGATCTACCTGCCTTTGTCCCCACTCCACCCCCAGCCCACCAGAGCTAAGATTAAAGGGATACACCATGACCAGCTAAAGACAAAATAAATCTTTAAAATGCCTATTACACAAAGCTGTAGAGAAGAACACAGTTAAGTGCAAGAAACTGTTCTATAATGCTCAGCAAAGAAATTAAGTATGGCAGGGGCTTAGACCAGCCTTATACCCCTGCCTAGAGTCCCCCAGTGAGGGGCTGGGATGTGGCTCAGTGGTAGAGCCCCTGCCTAGAATCCCCCAGTGAGGGGCTGGGGTGTGGCTCAGGGGTAGAGCCCCTGCCTAGAATCCCCCAGTGAGGGGCTGGGGTGTGGCTCAGGTAGAGCCCCTGCCTAGAGTCCCCCAGTGAGGGGCTTGGGTGTGGCTCAGTGGTAGAGCCCCTGCCTAGAATCCCCCAGTGAGGGGCTGGGGTGTGGCTCTACACAGCACAACTGCTTTCTAACATTGAAAATCTCTGGTTCCACCTCCATATTGGGGGGATGGGGCAGCAGCAGGGTGCAGAGATGCGCAGTGAACAATTTAAGTAAGCCCTGTCTAATCACCTTCTCCCCTGCTGCTCCTGGGGGACCCTCATCCCCAGGCAGTCCCTCGGGTCCCTTTTGTCCTTCTGGACCATCCTCTCCTCTGGGACCTGGGAGTCCTGGGTTTCCCTGAAATTAAAAAGGAAAGATTGAAATAGTCATTCGTCCTTCCTACCCTGTCCATCCTCTACTTAACCGCAGCTCATTCACCCTGTGTCTTTCCCAAGCCACCCTAGACCCACACCACCCCTCAACTGGGAGCTGGTCTTACCCGGTCACCTTTTGGTCCCCCATCACCCTTGAAGCCAGGAAAGCCATCCTCTCCCTGGGGGAGAGATAGAAATTGAGATGGAGAAGGAGACGAGAGGGAAAGGGAGAAACAGGTAGTAGAAGAGAAAGAGGCTTTGGGGTAAGAGAAGTCAGGGCTTTCGGGAAGGGCCACAGCCAGGGCCTCTTTATGGGAGCTCCCTCCCCCCCCATGAACCCCTTCCTTCTCACCCTTTCTCCTTTCTCTCCTTGGAGACCTCGGTTGCCAGAGGTACCCTAAAAAATTTTAAAAGAGCTCTGTCTCCTTCCCTGCTTAAGGAAGGTTCTAGACATCCTCCCTTAACCTAAAATTGCTAAAACAGTTGCAAGGCGTCTAGTGTGTGAGGAGCCATGGAGGAAATGGGCCTGTCTCCCCAGAGCCCCCCAGTGTGCTTGCTCAGCCTCCCCTACCCACAGCATGTCTGACAGCCACCACCCGCCCCAAGTTCATGTGCGTAGGGGGAACAAGGACAGCTGAGTCTCCATGCCATTCGTTTCTACTTCCTGAGGACACAGTGTCCACAGTTCCTTCTGGCAGCAGAAAGAACATTCCAGAGTCCAGCCTCGTTCCGAAGGCAGGGGAGAGTTTCCCCATTGTGCTGGCCACAAGGAGACTCTGTGCCTGGTAACAGCACTATGCCGTGCCTGCCCTGGACTGACTTCCTGCCTGCACCACACTGACAAACTGCTCTTGGCTCAGACGGGACTGGGCTCAGCTGAAGAATGAACTAGCGCTTGGAGCTGATGCAACTATGCGCTTGGAAACCGCAGGGCTTTCTGCAGCCCCACACTAATTCACTGGACCACAGCAAAGAAAGCTGTTGGCTGCCACTGGCCCCTCCCTTGGTTACAAAGTAACTAGATTCAGATACAACACGGGCTGCAGCCACAGTCCTCCACTTATCTGCAAAATAAACTAGGAAACCTCCAGGGATTGCTCGGAGGCCTTAAGACCCAGCTCTTATCAGTGTTGCCTCCTCTATGCACGTGTCAAACTATGATAAAATCCAATTTATAAACTAGGCAAAGAAAAAGATGAGCAAAAGAAACTAACAATAAAACAGAACCATCAGTACGCTATTTTTTCATTTGTTTGTTTATTTTGTGGGTTCTTTGTGTGTGCTTTGTTTTGTTTTGTTTTGAGAGAGGGACTCTTTGTTTTGTTTTGGGGACAGTAGTGTGCCCCCCCCTCCAGCCTGGACTGGAATTCGGTGTGTAGACCAGGGTAGCCTAGAAAGCACAGAGATCTTCCTGTTTCTGTCTCCCAAGTGTTGGGGTGTTTTGTTTGTTTGTTCATTTTGTTTTCAAGTCAGAGTCTTATTTAGCCCGGGCTGGTTTCAAACTCACTAATAGCTAAGAGGGTGGCACTGAACCCCCAAATCTTCTGTCTCCACTGCCTCAACACTAAGACAGCAGGCACGCACCACCACACTGAGAGTCGAGGGTGCTGGGGATGGAACTTGGGGCTCCACACACTGTTAGGCATGCATTCTACCACCAAACGAGCTACAGCCCCAGCTGTAATTTGTATTTTGAGGCAGAGTGGCTTCAAACTTGTACAGCTGAGACTGATTTTAAAATCCTGATCCTTACCAGGAGATGGTGGCACACGCCTTTATCCCAGCACTCAGCAGAGGTAAGTGGATCTCTGTGAGTTCAAGGCCAGCCTGATCTACAAAAATGAGTTCCAGGACAACCAGAACAGTGAAACCCTGTCTCAAAAAAAAAAAAAAAAAATTATCCTCCTCCCTCAAGTACTGCAATTACAAGGTGCGTGTGAGAGAGAGAGAGTGTGTATGTGTGTGTGAGTGTGTGTATGTTTTGTTAGTGTTTGGTTTGTGAGATAAGGTCTCAAAATACAACAATGCAATTCAGCCCTGGCTGGCCTAGAACTCGCCGTTTAGCCCAGGCTAGCCTCAGTCTTGTAGCAATCTTCTTGCCTCTTCCTCCCAAATACTGGGTCCCCTGACAGGGCTACCACACCTGGCACTAAATGGGTTTTCTGACACCCATGCTAACGAGCTATCTATCCTACCTTCGAGTCCTCCAGCGTTACCTACCTTCACACCCCGGGGTCCAGGATAGCCCAGAGGGCCTGCTGACCCTGGTGGACCCTGAAAGGAAAATAAAGGCCGATGCTATCCAGTTCCACATCATCCCTGTTCCAGTATCCTCTGTCACCTCCCTGGCCCATGGCTACTTACTACTCCTCTTCCCCAGCCCAGCCACCCTCCTGGTCACTCACCTGAGCTCCCTTTTCTCCTGTGGGACCCTCAGGGCCTGGGTGACCCTGGTAGAAAAACACATCAACTCATCAAAGGCCAAAATTTGCCATACAAATTTCCGAACCTTCCCCTTGTCCCAGCTCCTGGTTCTTACCGGGGGGCCCTCAGCTCCTGGGACACCTGGAATTCCGGGATTTCCAGGGGGACCCTGAAAGAGAAGGAACAGGAAGTGTAACCTGAGCGTCTCCGAGCCTGGACCCGAGGGGTCTACCCCACAACTCAGAGTGTGTCTGCAACACAGGCATCTGTCCCAGCTCTGCTCACGCTACTCATGACTCCAGTAAATCAGCTCGTCCTCCCTGAGCTGCTGATATAAAACTATGAGAAGGCTGGGGGTGTGGCTCAGGGGCAGGTCTCCGTCATCACCCCGCCCATTGAGGAGCTGGGGAACAGCTCCACTGTAGAGAGCTTGCCTCTCACGCACAAGGCCCAGGTCCCGAGCCTAGAACCATAAATGGATAAAGTGTAAGATATGCTAGGGTCAGCCAGAGCTTCTCGTCTACAACCTTTTGTTTTGTTCCTTTGCTTTATTTTATTCACTTTTTAAAACTTATTTACTGAGGCAAAGTTCTGCAGCCTTGCCCAGGCTAGTTTGCACCCTAAATTGCTGGGACTGCGGGGGTCTACACCTTTAAGATGCCTTTCTTTGAAAGAAAGTACATCCTGCTGGGTGTGGCGGGAATGCCTTTAATCCCAGCACTCTGGAAGCAGAGGCAGGAGGATCTCCAGGTTCGAGGCCAGCTTGGTCCACAGAGTGAGTTCTAGGACAGCCAGGGGCAACAGAGAAACTTGTCTTGAAAAGCCAGAAGAAGAAGAAGAAGGAGAAGGAG